AGCGGCCCGGCAAGAAATGCAGACACTGCAATAAGTCAATGCGCTATGTGCGGTACATGCATCGGCGATTGGTCTTCTACGTGACCATAGCAGACATCAAAGAGCGGTAAGGGCGCAGAAATCGAGTACATCGAGTACTTAGTCGCTAATCAACCAACCAATTTCCTCCTGCAGCCTCGGTGATGGCGCTGAGACCGGTGGCCAGAACAAGGTAATCTTCGCAGATGAGTGCCGTCGCTATCTGAGGCAAATATATGCCAACTACCCCGAACTGCTGAGGCTTTTGATGCCCGTTCTGAGCTTAAGCAACACGGATGCAGCAGATTCCGGATACTCCCCGGTGGATATGTTCTTCATGGACACCATACCAGTGACGGCGCCTCGCGCCCGTCCCATGAATGTAGTCAACGGCATGGTCAAGGGGAATCCCCAGACGGACATCTACGTCAACATCATCGAGAACAACAACGTCTTGAATGTGGTGCTGAGGCATATGAGGGGCAATCAGGAGAAGCTCACGGAGCATGCATTGGCCGCCTACCAGGATATGAAGGGATCGAATGCCCACGAGAAGCTGTACAATGCTTGGCTGTCCCTGCAGACATCAGTCGATGTCCTGCTCGATGTGAATATGTCGAGGGAAGTGCAGTCTGCCGAGGGCCTGAAGCAGGTTCTGGAGAAGAAGGATGGTCTGATAAGAAAACATATGATGGGAAAGAGAGTCAACTATGCCGCACGCACTGTCATCACGCCAGATCCCAATATAGACGTGGACGAGATCGGCATACCCGACATCTTTGCCCGAAAGCTCTCCTACCCCATCCCCGTAACCGAGTGGAATGTGACGGATCTACGCAAAATGGTAATGAACGGACCGGACGTCCATCCCGGTGCGAACTACATACAGGATAGCAATGGGTTCACCACCTACATACCCGCGGACAATGCAGCCAAGCGAGCCAGCATGGCCAAGCTGCTGCTGTCCAATCCCAAGGACGGCGTTAAGATTGTCCATCGTCACGTGCTCAACGGAGATTGTCTGCTGCTCAATCGTCAGCCCTCGCTGCACAAGCCGTCCATCATGGCCCATAAGGCGCGGATTTTGCGCGGCGAGAAGACCTTCCGCCTCCACTACTCGAATTGCAAGGCATACAACGCCGATTTCGATGGCGACGAGATGAATGCCCACTATCCGCAGAGCGAGGTGGCCCGAGCGGAGGCCTACAATCTGGTGAATGTGGCCAGCAATTACCTGGTGCCAAAGGATGGCACTCCCCTGGGTGGCCTCATTCAGGATCACGTCATCTCGGGCGTGAAGCTGTCCATTCGCGGACGATTCTTTAACCGCGAAGACTACCAGCAACTGGTCTTCCAGGGGCTCTCGAACTTGAAGGGAGACGTCAAGCTGCTGCCCCCGGCCCTGATCAAGCCGGCCGTGCTCTGGTCTGGTAAGCAGGTCCTGTCCACCATTATTATAAACCTGATTCCCGACGGCTATGAGCTGATCAATTTAGATTCGTTTGCCAAGATCGGCGGCAAGGTAAGTGGATCAGTTCGAATACTTTTCTATGTTCTAAAATGATTCCTAATCTCCCAAAGAACTGGAACGTAGCACGTCCTCGTCCAGCACTGCATGGCAGCAATCCTCAGGAACATGAGCTAAGCGAGAGCCAGGTGCAAATAAGGAGAGGCGAGCTTCTGGTCGGTGTTCTGGATAAGCAGCAGTACGGCGCGACCACTTTTGGCCTCATCCACTGCATGTACGAGCTGTACGGTGGCGATGTGTCCACCCGCCTGCTCACAGCCTTCACTAAGGTCTTCACATTCTTTCTGCAACTGGAGGGCTTTACTCTGGGTGTCAAGGACATTCTGGTCACTGGCGAGGCAGATCGCAAGAGACGACAGATCATACAGGAGTGTCGTGACGTGGGAAACAGTGCCGTTGCCGCAGCCTTGGAGCTGGACGATGTCCCGCCGCACGATGAGCTGGCCGAGCAAATGGAGGAGGCCTATGTGAAGGATCCCAAATTCCGAGTGCTGCTGGATCGAAAATACAAATCACTGCTAGACGGCTTCACCAACGATATCAACAAGTATGACGGGAATATTCTTCCTCCACGGGAGCTCCATTGACAATTGTAATTTCCTTCCAGAACTTGCTTGCCTGGTGGCCTCATCACCAAGTTCCCCTCAAACAATCTGCAACTGATGGTGCTGTCTGGTGCCAAGGGATCCATGGTCAACACCATGCAAATCTCCTGCCTTCTCGGGCAGATTGAGTTGGAAGGCAAAAGACCGCCCTTGATGATATCGGGCAAGTCTCTGCCAAGCTTCACTTCCTTTGAGACATCACCCAAGTCGGGTGGCTTCATCGATGGGCGATTTATGACCGGCATACAGCCGCAGGACTTTTTCTTTCATTGCATGGCAGGTCGTGAGGTAAGATTTGGGTCTTTCCGTGCCCCACATTGTGGATATTAAATCACTCTCCAATTTCAGGGTCTAATTGATACTGCAGTGAAGACATCGCGTTCCGGTTACCTGCAGCGCTGCCTCATCAAGCATCTGGAGGGCTTGAGTGTCCACTATGATCTCACTGTCCGTGATAGCGATAACAGTGTCGTGCAGTTCCTCTACGGCGAGGACGGTCTGGATATTCTCAAATCAAAGTTCTTCAACGAAAAGTTCTGTGCGGACTTCCTCACCCAAAATGCTTCAGCCATCTTGCGGCCCAGCCTGCTGCAGGTGATGAAGGATGAGGAGGGTCTGGCCAAAGTGCTGCGCCATGAGAAGCACATACGGAGCTGGGAGAAGAAGAAACCAGCCAAGTTGCGGGCTGCTTTCACTCATTTCTCTGAGGAGCTGCGCGAGGAGGTAGAAGTCAAGCGGCCCAATGAGATCAATGCGAAAACAGGTCGGAGTCGCTTTGATGAAGGTCTGCTTAAACTGTGGAAGAAGGCCGATGCCGAGGACAAGGCCTTGTATCGCAAGAAGTACGCTCCTTGTCCCGACCCATCAGTGGCCGTCTACAAGCAAGATCTTTACTACGGCAGCGTCTCGGAGAGGACGCGCAAACTCATCGATGACTATGCGCGCAAGCAGCCAAGCCAGAAGGACACGATAGGCGACATAATGCGTATGAAGAGCATCAAAGCATTGGCCGCGCCGGGAGAACCCGTAGGCTTGATTGCCGCCCAATCGATTGGGGAGCCCTCCACACAGATGACGCTGAACACTTTCCATTTTGCCGGTCGTGGTGAGATGAACGTAACTCTGGGTATTCCCCGGCTTCGAGAGATTCTCATGCTGGCCTCTTCGAACATAAAGACGCCCTCCATGGACATACCCATCAGGCCGGGACAGCAAGCTCAAGCCGAAAAGTTGCGCATAGCCCTGAATTGTGTGACTCTGGCCAATCTCTTGGAGTGTAAGAATTCGAATAAGCTTTCAAGAAACATCTTATTTATGTGAAATTTCCCATTCGCAGCCGTCCACATCAGCACCAGTCTGAGCTTGGAGCCGGAACGAGCCTACGAGTATGAGCTGCGCTTCCAGTTCCTGCCCAGAGAGGTCTACAAAGAGGACTATGGTGTGCGACCAAAGCGGATTATTAAGTACATGCACCAGACCTACTTCAAGCAGCTAATTCGGGCCATCCTCAAAGTTTCCAATGCCAAAAAAACATCGAAAATGTGAGTACAAGAGTAGCTCTGGAAGAGTAGCCCTTTGACCGCAAAAACATTCATTTTCTAGAATCGAAATCGATGACAAAAAAGAGGGCGAAAACAATAAGGACGAAGATAACGATCTGGACAACGCAGATTATATGGGTCCGAACAAAGGCGCTGCTGACAACGATGAAGATTCATCGGATGATGGCGTAAACAAAGAACTTATATATCGGCCATTTCAGCGCCCTAATATCGTGATACTTTTCTTTAGGGCGATGACGACACCACAGGACTGAAGTTGAAGCAACGCAAAACAGATGAAAAGGACTACGATGATCCGGATGATGTTGAAGAACTACACGATGCTAATGGTTAGTATTCGCAATAAATATTCACCATTAAAGTTCTTACTTTTCTATTACGCCCGCCAACAGACGACGATGAGGAGCAAGAGGATGACCAAGAAGAGGAGGAGAACGGAGGAGACGGCAACGAGAACGCCGATGTAGATGACAAGTCGGTGGAGAAGCTTCTCAGCAACCAAATGGTGAAGGATTACACTTTTGACAAGGAGAATCATCTGTGGTGCAAGGTTAAACTGCAATTGAGTGTTCGCTACCAGAAGCCCGATCTGACCTCCATTATACGTGAGCTGGCAGCCAAGAGTGTAGTCCACCAGGTGCCGCACATTAAGCGAGCCATCATCTACAAGGGCAACGACGATGAGCAACTCCTGAAGACGGATGGCATCAATATGGGTGAAATGTTCCATCACAAAAAGGTATTGGATGTGAATCGGTTGTACTCCAATGATATTCATGCCATAGCGCGCACTTACGGCATTGAGGCAGCGTCTCAAGTCATTGTCAAGGAGGTTAGCAACGTGTTCAAGGTGTACGGCATTACAGTGGATCGTCGGCACCTGTCGCTGATAGCTGATTACATGACCTTTGATGGAACCTTCCAACCTCTGTCGCGCAAGGGCATGGAGCACTCTTCCTCTCCTCTCCAGCAAATGTCTTTCGAGTCGAGTTTGCAATTCTTAAAGAGCGCCGCCGGCTTCGGCAGGTCGGATGACCTCAATTCCCCTTCAAGTCGCTTGATGGTCGGCCTCCCTGTGCGCAATGGTACGGGGGCTTTTGACTTGTTAACGAAAATATGTTAATACAAAAGTTTCTTCATACTAGACATTTTTCAAATAAAATATACAACAAAAATTCAAATATTCGCGATAGCACATAAACCGATAATTCTACAATCGAAGAGATTGCCCATCTCTATGAAACAGCTGTTCCTATTTGTTGACAAAAAGTTGATTTAATTAAACTTACGGAAAAATGTTGACTTCTATGGTTAAGGAGCATCATAAGGAGCAGGTGAAGCGAAAACAAGAGCAAGGTCTGTAGTCATTTGATTGTCGAGCTGCGTAAGTGATTATAATGTAATACACGCAGAGGTGCGCAGGAAGGAGGCAATCGAAGCGTCCAACGAACTCACACAGTCCTTGGTGGACCATCTAAACGTGGGTGTGGCCCAGGCATACTTGAACCAGAAGCGCTTGGACGCCGAGGCTAAGCAGCTGCATGTAGGGGCCACGAACTTTGCCAAGCAGACCCATCAATGGTTGCAGCTGATAGACAACTTTAGTGGCGCCTTGAAAGAGCTGGGCGACGTTGAGAACTGGGCGCGCAGCATAGAGAGCGATATGCTAGTAATACAACAGACTCTGGAGGTGGCCTACAAGGCTTCGCGCGCCGCCCAGGCTACAGGAGCCGGGCCGGAGGCCTCCACGTCAGCCGCCGCCGCAGCAGCAGCCATTAATCCCAATCCATAAGTAACATGAAGACTTGCTTGAAATCCTTATTTATTTAATTTGTTTGCATTCAAATACAAATATTTACATCTATATGTATAATATACACTCGCAGTCACTTGCAAGACACAAGCTAATGGTTAGTGAGTTAGTTAGCATGCGGTGCCCTCGACATCGGCCAGCGAGTACTTGTGGGCAAAGTATGGATAACATTATTGGTTGGTTAATCCAACTATCAGACCTTCAGTAGTGGCTAATTATTTACAAAATTATAATCGCATAAAGCCTTAAAATAGGGCAGCGAGTGCTTAAAGGGACGAACGAACAGAATAAAAGCGTTAAAATTAAGAGAACAGTAGCTTATACCTTCACAAAGAGGCAATTCCTTAAAATAAGCGAATATTTTGTAATTGCACACTTAGAATGGTAACGATAAAAGTTAATTCTAATATGGATGATTGTTAGTGTGTTAGTTTTATTATTATTATCAGGCTGTTGCTGCTGCTTAAGCTACATATCACAATGAGTGTGTGGCACCTATAGCCCGCTTTTGGTGCCAGATTTCTATTATGTAATCGTGTTAATTCTCGATTTTTACAAACTACGTTTTTCAACAGCAACAACGAAGTCAACAGATTAAAAGTTTAGACGATGTATGAGTTATAAATTTGTCAATTGCTCCCCAAAGCCATAAGATGCGATTATTTTGCCAGTGTTTTGTTAAAATTCAGTCAAGTGTGCTCGTCTTGTTTGCTAAGGCCCACAAAATAAAAACAATACAGATGGGCCTTGACGATGAGCATGGTTTTGGCAATTGGCGCGTTTTGTACAGGAATTACTCATAACGCGATGAGGTGCGGTCTGTAATGAACAAAAAAATGTTTATTTGTCCATCTCTGAGATCCTCTTCAGCTGATATGCACTTACACTTGCGCACCGGCGAACGCGAACGAGAACGTGAAACGCTGCGACTGCGTACATAACGACTGCGACTAGACTCCTTCGGATAATTGCGGTTTGCACGTTCATTGCGGTATTCGCGGTCGCTGCGTTCGTTGCGGTAGTCACGATAGCGACTGCGAGAATCCTTAGTTGTTGAAGAACCGTAGTCGCGATATCGAGAACCACACGGTGAGCCGGAGCGACCATACTGGTTGCTGCAGGAAATGTGTTTAATGTGGAACCCCTAGACTAGTGCAAATAGTACGTACCGAGACGAACGTCCCATGTAGATTCCAGGAGTAGGAGTGTGGGGACGTTGGGTTATTGAAAAGTCAACGCGTATGCGACGGTTGTCAATCTCCATGCCGCAGCAGGAATCCTTAGCGACACGGGCGTCGGCGACATTTTGAAAATAAATAAAGCAGAAACCACGCGAGCGATGGGTCTGTGAAAGCGAGGGATTAGAAAAATAAGAAGAACAATGTAGACAAACATGGAAATGTGTGAAGATGTGGAAACAAGCCTTTAGTGGTTTGCTATGTTTGTATAGCAAGCACTCACAATTGTTACCTATTTTTATCTAGCCAGACATCCAACCGGACAGGACAGCAAACACTTAAAGCTGTTCCGCCATTAGTGGTGGAGTCTGGCAACTTAGGGAGTGTGCACCTTTAACCGAACTTACCTGGGCATCGATAATCATTTGAATGCGCTCAATGGGGCCGTATTTGCTGAAAAGGTCGCGCACCTTCTCCTGGGAAGTATTGGTACTCAAGCCGAAGACGCCAATGCAGCGGTTTGTCTTGGGACGTTCCGAGGATCCTCCAATCTATGAAATACGCACGGTTAAAAAGACCAAAAATAATTCATACGCATCGCATTCAAATACCTGACGGTCCTGTGACTGGCGCCTAGAGCGGTTGCGTGCTCCTGAAGGCGATATGGAGCGGGATTGCGAGTAAGAACGCGAGCGCGAACGGCGACGTGAGCCCGAGCTGCGGTTGCTCCCATAGTATTCCAAATGAGACCTTGATTTTGTGTTAGAATGGAATTTGATCATTAAATCTTCGATGGTTCTGGCTGTTCTTCTTTCTGTTGTGTGTTTTGTAATTGAAATTGATTTTGACACTTGAAAAATGTTTGTGTTTTGTGTGGCTCTGAGTTCGATGGGAAGGAACTTTGCTTGGGGTCTCAACCAATTTGTTATTTGTGGCTTTGATTCTGTTTCGATGACCGTTCTTCTTTTTACTGATTTTGACACTTGAAACTGTTTGCGAATTGTGTTTTGTGTGGCTCTGAATTCTGCATCGTATCGACGGCAAGAATGGCTGTTCTTCTTTCTTTTGTGTTTTTAATTGAAACTGATTTTCACCCTTGAATAATGGTTGCAAATTGTGTTTTGTGTGGCTCTGAGTTCTGATTTTGATTCGATGGGAAGGAACTTTGCTTGGGGTCTCAACCAATTTGTTATTTGTGGCTTTGATTCTGTTTCGATGACCGTTCTTCTTTTTACTGATTTTGACATTTGAAACTGTTTGCGAGTTGTGTTTTGTGTGGCTCTGAATTCTGCATCGTATCGACGGCAAGAATGGCTGTTCTTCTTTCTTTTTTGTTTTTAATTGAAACTGATTTTCACCCTTGAATAATGGTTGCAAATTGTGTTTTGTGTGGCTCTGAGTTCTGATTTTGATTCGATGGGAAGGAACTTTGCTTGGGGTCTCAACCAATTTGTTATTTGTGGCTTTGAATCTGTTTCGATGACCGTTCTTCTTTTTACTGATTTTGGCACTTGAAAACTGGTTGCGAATTGTGTCTTTCTGTGGCTCGGAATTCTGCATCGTATCGACGGCAAGAATGGCTGTTCTTCTTTCTGTTGTGTTTTTCAATTGAAAATGATTTTCACCCTTGAATAATGGTTGCGAATTGTGTTTTGTGTGGCTCTGAGTACTGATTCGATGGAAAGAAAATTTGCTTAGCTTTTCAATAAATTCAAATCAATGGCCTGTTGGAAAATTCAATTAATTAATGCGCACTTTTTCTTACATGTTGATTGGTTTTTTTCTTGCACAATTTTTTGATCAGCAGGAACCACTTTCGTTGAAACGACAAATTAAAATGAAGGATTCCAAATGACAATTCAGAATATAGCCTACTTGATGTCGATACCCGGTTACTCGATATCTACATTTGTTGTATTTACCTGAGGGATGGGCTATTTTCGTGTCTGGACGAGGCAGACGATGAGGAGCCAGACGATGACGACGATCCGGAACGCTTGTGTTTGTAGTTCCTGTAACTGCACTATTAAAGACCCCGGGTCACCTTTTTTCCTTTTTATGGCTTACCTGGCATGGTTGCGATGCGAATGACTTCCATCCTTGGGAGAACGCGAGCGCTTTGGTTTAGAGTTGTTATTGTACGTTATTATGAAAGATGCAGTCTGCAAAGCTGGTAACTCACCATCTTAAAATGTTTATTCTACGATTTATATTTAAGTGCAAAAGCCGTCGAAATTTATTTCACTGCAGCGTGACCACGGATTTATATATACCGTCCGACCCTTAGAAATATACCAAAATATACCCTCTCATTTTTTAAATATACCGTAAATATACTGACGAGTTCCAGTTCTATTATACATATTCCTCGTTTTTGATATTCCATCGCATATTTCCAGCTAGGTAGAACGATTAATGAATTAATTTATTACTTGACTGGCTTGTTTCAAATACTTGACTTTGATGTTTTATGCCTCAATTTTGGTTCCTCAACAACAATATAGCATCTCTAAGCCCGAACTTAGCCCACTTAATAGAGCTAACATCGATGTCATCGATCTGGGATCTAATTCAGACAGTTCGCTTGAGACATGATCGGTGTATTCACTCATTGATATCATTGTACATTGAAGAACTCTAGCGGTCTTAAAACGTAAGTAGCTTTAGCTATAGCGTTATATTACTTTAGATTGAACCGTGTCGATATCGATATCAAAAGAGGATAGCGCCAGACCTTGTTTACGTTATCGAACATTGGGAGTGAGAAATGCCGGAAAAGGAAAACACAAATGAAAAGCTGTTGCTTCAAGTGCAGGAAGACTGGGCTGACGAGGCGGACCAACATCCCAGCTGTCAGCATGGTCCCACAGTGCTTTTCTACCGCCAGTCGCAACGTCCCGACCAGGGGTATTATGCCTGTTCGGCACACAGGGACTCCAAACTGTGCAATTTCCACATGGCCGCGGATGAATGGGAGCGTAGTAGACTGAAGGAAGTATTAGTTGAAAAAAACTACCCAGAAGCGTCCGGCCACGTTCTGAAACCATCTGATTCCGACCCAACAAAGAGTATACTGGCTCTCGCGCAGGATAAAGTGAATGCTCAGTATTTCTTTGATGAAGCGGCGTTGGACTTCTTGGCGGATCAGTGTCGTTGCCTGGGAATAACGTGAGTGGAATTTAATTGCGGGATTAATATATATAATCCCTATCATCATGACAGCAAGGTGGTCTGCATGGGCGCTCCTCGGCTGCATTTTCGCCTGCGTGCGAATTACAAAAGTTTCCTCCTGGATCTGGATGAGCGCTTCGCCCGTTACCTTGGTCCGGAGGAGTTCTGCCTGTACAACATGTGCAACAATCACTTCTTCTACAGGCGTAAACCTTTCGAAAAGTTCCTGCAATGCTCTGCGTGAGTCGTTTCTTTAAGAACAATGTGTACATAAATCCAAATGATGAATTTCCAGCGAGGACCGTTTGCTGATAGTGACCGATCCTCCGTTTGGGTGCCGAACAGAACTAATTGCCCACACCTTGCGCGCTCTCCGATGGCGCCACAATCGCATCAACCAGCTGCCCGTTACCCCGCTGTCTATATTTTGGATATTTCCCTACTTCTCCATCAACCACATCAGGCAGGAAATGCCAGAGATGGAAATGAGCGACTACCGGATAAACTATTCCAACCACACGAGGTACACGAATGTTGGCAAGGAGAGTCGGTTCTGCGGTTCGCCCGTCCGTCTGTTCACCAACGTGCCTCTGCAATTACTGAACCTGCCACAGAACGAGGGCTACAAGTACTGCCCAAAATGTTGCCTTCACACGGCCAGTGATAATCTCCACTGCGGGCGATGTCAGAAATGCACCTCGAAGAATGGCCAGACCTACCGACATTGTAACGAATGTGATATGTGCGTCAAGCCCAGCTATGTCCACTGCCACAGCTGTCGCCGCTGCACCCAACGCGAAGGACACGACTGCTCCTTCTATCAAACCAAGCAACAGTGCTGGCTATGTGGTCAGCGTGGACACATTGAGACGAATTGCGGCGTATGGAAGACGCAACGAAAACGATCTCGGACGGGCTGCCTCCTGTGTGGTCGGCAGGACCATAGGGAGCGACGGTGCCAGCATCGTGGAAGATACTTCAAGGAACATCAATTTTTGGGCCACACATCGATTCAGTGTCTAAGCAACTGACCCACTGAATTGATCTACTTGTTTATGTTTAATACAAAATTTATTTGTTGTTAACACTTGTTTATTCTTACAAATTTTGAATTGCAACGGTTATTGTGGATTGGAATTCTTAGTCGTCAAGCTCTCATCATGAGATATCAAGATTTGCAGGACGAAGGGTTAGCAAATTTTGAAAGTATTACGTTCATGTTTTTAACGACGCAGAAGGGGAAGAAACTTAGCTTAAGGTAATAATAATTTAATGTGGAAAACACACCAATGCTTATGTTTTGGCTGCTTCTGCTTCTGTTTCGGTATGAAAGAAATGATTACGTCGACAGTGCTCACGTTTGTTGAGGTGAAAGTATTTTATTGGCTATGAACGTAATGGCTTAAGAACGATTGTATTTCCCCCAAATGTGCAGCATGAAAACGGATGCAATGTTATCTACACAACACTGCAGCTTTTATGACTGCAAAATTTAATCGAAATGCTATAAGCGACTGATTCCAGAAATATATTTTTATGACCATAACATAAATTATAAATAATGCAATCACTTACATATCTAAAATCACAGAGTTTTACTACACAAGACCAAACCTAATGGCTGCGACTCCAGTACCACTGATTTTTCACCATTACATAGTTATAAAGTCTTTCCTGCTCAATGTTGTATAGATCCGTTATGGTTTTACAGACGCGCTCGTCGTTAAAATGACTCTTTGTCATTTTAATTCCAAAAAGTGCTTCTTGACACTGGCGCGCAAGCCAGCTCCACTGAATACCGGCTTCCGGAATAGGTCATACATATTCTTTTTGCCATATTTCTGGTGAATCTGATCCACAGTCTGGTCTATATCAGACTGCTTACAATAATAAATGTACCACAGCTTTCGTTCCGGCGCGCGTAAATCAGTTAGGCTCAAAACGCCGAAAAATTCGACCACATATGTATTACATTTTGGTGGATCATCCTTGGGTTTCGTATGCAACAAATACCTCAAATGTTTATCAAATTCTTCGTTGGCTGGAGAGAGATTAGTCATCAATATTAGCTGACAGTCTTGAGGCAAAGAGTTTGTGTTACCTGAATCTGTGTCTTTTATTTTAGCTGCCATGTTTGTCCTTAGGCTTTACTGGTAGAAATGGTCCTAGCAGAGGATTTGATTCTGCTTAAGTAACAAACTTTTCTCCCTCACTATCAATTTCAATAGGCACGCAATAAAGCTTTGCTTTTGTTTACTGTTTTAAATTTCACAATAAAGCTACTACGAAAAGCTTTCTGCTTTGATACTAAATGCAACCCTGAGTATCGATAAGAATACAACAGCTACTACTAAATCTTACAAATATGCGAAAATCTATATAAGGCCCCTAATCGCAAACTATATCCACAGATGCGGAAGTTTTAGATAGCCGGCCTTCATAGGATCAGCAGCTGGCTGCCGACAGAATCAAAGTCTTCTAATATTTCTGTATTAAAGCTTTTAAAGTTAGATCTCTTGCAACAAAACGAGATTTCTATGAACTCGTACCCACTCACCCTTAAAAGTGTATTTATTAAATTAAATATGATTTTATTAAGTAGACGGCGGTGCAACCCCCCAGCTGTTATAATAAACATTTTGGCCCATTATAAAATCATAATACCTTCGCCGTTCGGCATAATACAAGTCTGTAATAGTGTTTATCACTTTTTCGTCATTGTATAAGGTATCTGGCGGGGCCTCCAATATATTCCCTTTTACGTACCACTTCAGGGCTGCAAAGTGATTCTTTACCCGGGATCGCAGACCGGCACCACTGAAGATGGGCTTTCGAAACAGATCGTACATATTTTTCTGGCCATATTTGCGGTGGATGCGGTCCACCGTAATGTCAACCTGATCGCTGGTGCTATAATACATATACCAGAGCTTACGCCGGGGAGAGCGTACATCGGTTAGGCTCATCACACCGAAGAATTCCACAGCAGCAGGATCACATATATTTTCAGTCCAAATATATTTTGTATGGAAAAGTCTTCCAATGTACTGCTCCAGTCTCCTTTCAAGGTCTGGATACGAAGCTGTGGGTCAAATATTTATTATATGTTAATTTTAGGTAATTAATACCCGATTGGGTATAAAACTTACCATTGGGAGTGTTTATTTCCTCTTTTTCCGCTCCAGTGACGTTCATCATGTTGAGGTCTTTGTATAGTGTCTTCTATTGTATTTCCCCTGGCCGGACTGGCCTTAATTTTTTTTTCCATTTTATTATGAAAAGCTAATAATTTCGCCACTAGAGCTTGCAGCAAGCAGAGAGCTTTAACTGAAAAGCTTAAAGTGCCGAAAAGGTTCAAAAGATGTTTGACTATATCCACTTATTTTAACAAACATTTGTTTCTTCATTTGTGGAGCTACATATCATATGTAATTCTATTCTTGCGCTCAACGATGCACTTATGAGTAATTCTTCTTAATCAAAAACGTTTTAGATTAACTTAGAATACCTTTATCTTTTTAATCAATACACTTAAGCGCTGTTCTACCCAATCAATTTCATAGAGTTTTCCTGTTCCCAGTAAGGTGGTACAGGTCAAGCCTCCGTCGAAACGGTAAAACGAATTCCGGTCTTAGGCCATACAATCTCCGCCAACGCTCAATGCAAGAGTTTGATGCGTTTGGCAGTGAACTGGTGTTTTTCTTTACTTCAGCTTGGGATACCACATCGAAAAGGATGGGCTTCATTAATTGTAGATCAGATCGTTGCCGTTCAGTAGCGCCTTTGGCAGTAGCTGGATCTTTGTTTGGTCTGTCTGGGGGTTAAATTTACACGGGAGTACACGCCAAAGGAAATCTCCTTCAGTGTGAAGATCACCTCCAGATTAATATGACATCCTCCATTTCCGTACTTCTTGAGGAAACTGGAGAGCGATCGAGCTGGTTGGGAGGGGTGTCTGGCAGGGGTATGCTCGTGGTCCCACTGCTCACTCGACCCTTGGAGATGTTCACTTGGATAATGGGGGTCATTGTCCAACACACAAAATCTATATATATGGATCTATGGAGACGCCGCGCCACCAGCAGCTGTACATGGTATTTATTAGATAGATATATGCCATGAATCTATCTGATTCCAGAAATATATTTTTATGACCATAACATAAATTATTAATAATGCAATCACTTACATATCTAAAATCACAGAGTTTTACTACACAAGACCGAACCTAATGGCTGCACCTCCAGTACCACTGATTTTTCACCATTACATAGTTATAAAGTCTTTCCTGCTCAATGTTGTATAGATCCGTTATGGTTTTACAGACGCGCTCGTCGTTAAAATGACTCTTTGGTGGCGCCTCAAGTAAATTTCCTTTGGTAAACCACTTTAATTCCGAAAAGTGCTTCTTGACACTGGCGCGCAAGCCAGCTCCACTGAATACCGGCTTCCGGAATAGGTCATACATATTCTTTTTGCCATATTTCTGGTGAATCTGATCCACAGTCTGGTCTATATCAGACTGCTTACAATAATAAATGTACCACAGCTTTCGTTCCGGCGCGCGTAAATCGGTTAGGCTCAAAACGCCGAAAAATTCGACCACATATATATTACATTTTGGGGGATCTTCCTTGTGTTTCATACGCAAAAAATACCTCAAATGTTTATCAAATTCTTCGTTGGCTGGAGAGAGATTAGTCATCAATATTAGCTGATAGTCTTGAGGCAAAGAGTTTGTGTTACCTGAATCTGTGTCTTTTATTTTAGCTGCCATGTTTGTCCTTAGGCTTTACTGGTAGAAATGGTCCTAGCAGAGGATTTGATTCTGCTTAAGTAACAAACTTTTCTCCCTCACTATCAATTTCAATAGGCACGCAATAAAGCTTTGCTTTTGTTTACTGTTTTAAATTTCACAATAAAGCTACTACGAAAAGCTTTCTGCTTTGATACTAAATGCAACCCTGAGTATCGATAAGAATACAACAGCTACTACTAAATCTTACAAATATGCGAAAATCTATATAAAGCCCCTAATCGCAAACTATATTCACAGATGCGGAAGTTTTAGATAGCCGGGCTCCATAGGATCACGCTTAAAAGCGTATTTATTAAATTAAATATTTAATTTATTAAGTACACAGCTGTTTAACCCGACAGCGGTTAAAATCCAAATTTTGGTACATTATAAAATCATAATACCATCGTCTTTCGACAAAATACAAGTCTGTAATAGTGTTTATCACTTTTTCGTCATTGTATAAGGTATCTGGCGGGGCCTCCAATATATTCCCTTTTACGTACCACTTCAGGGCTGCAAAGTGATTCTTTACCCGGGATCGCAGACCGGCACCACTGAAGATGGGCTTTCGAAACAGATCGTACATATTTTTCTGGCCATATTTGCGGTGGATGCGGTCCACCGTGATGTCAACCTGATCGCTGGTGCTATAATACATGTACCAGAGCTTACGCCGGGGAGAGCGTACATCGGTTAGGCTCATCACACCGAAGAATTCCACTGCACAAAAATCACGTACATTTTGAGTCTCAATATTTCTCCTTGCGAATAGTATTCCCATGTACTTGTCCAGTCTATTTTCCAGGTCTGGATATGAAGCTGTGGGGCAAATATTCATTATAGGTTCAATTTAAGTAATTAATAACAGATTGCGTATAAAAGTTACCATTGGGAGTGTTTATTTCCTCTTTTTCCGCTTCCGTGACGTCCATCATGTTGAGGTCTTTGTATAGTGTCTTCTATTGTATTTCCTCTGGCCAGCCAGGGCTTTATATTTCGTTTTGTTTCCATTTCTAATGAAAAGCTTATAAATTTCGACATGAGAGCTTTTATTGAAAAGCTTAAAGTGCCGTTTAGATTAAAAAAAAAAGTTTGATTACATCCATTTATTTTAACAATAATTTGTTTCTTCATTTGTAGAACTACATAATTCTCTTGCGCTCAACGATGCATTTGAGTAATTCATCTTAATCAAAAACTTTTTAAAGTAACTTAGAATACTTTTCCTTTTCACTTTTTTAATCAATTATACACTCAAGCCCTGCCCTATCCAATCAATTCCACAGTGTCGTCCAGCTCACCCTTGATCTCCGCTTCCATTGGCACAACATTGTTGGAATCGGGCAGTATGCTCTCCTCTGCCTGGGGGGACATCTGGTTAATGATAAACACATTCGGACTGCGCGTTTGATTCAATCCAGCGGATCGCCCGCTCGATGTTGGGGCAGCAGACTTTGACGTTGACCCCCGCACAGGCACAAGGACAGGCACAGCCACCGCCTTGGGCTGAGGAGTCTCCGATAATGCAGCAATCGTTTGGGCTACACCTGGCCTTGCAGGGAGTGTTTTCTGTTCTGGCGGTGGGTGAATGGAAATGATCTTCCCTGAACCCTGAACTCTATTTCCAGGGCTGCCTTTTGCTCCTGCTTTCATAGGAATTCCAGCCGTAGTTTTCGTTTTCTACGAAGAAAATAAACATCAAATAATAATTTTATTGAACGTACCACATACTCGATTAAGCTACCTTGTTCTGTTTTAGCTGCACACTCGATCTGGCCGACTTGCTTCCACCCTGGGCTGCCGAGGAGGCGGATGGTCCCAGTGGAGTGCTGCTGGCCATGGGCGTTGGTCGATTGACAAACGAAGCGTTCGGTGTCGGGCACTGATATCCAATGATGTTCTTCTCCGAATCGTACACCGGAATGCCGGCTGGCAGAGAACTGCGCTTTTGTGCTGGCTTCTTTGTTGCTGGTGCGGGTGCGGAAGGGGTTACAGTTGCAGATGCAGATGCAGTGCTGACTTTACTCTTGGCCACCGCCGGGATGCCGACAAGACTGGCGACTGTGGGCGCACTCTGAGTAGCAGCTGTTGTTCCCACAGGGTTGAGGCAAAGCGAGGGCAGGGGCGTCTGGATGTTGGTAGCTCGGTTCAGGTAATAGACGTAGTTCTCAAGGAGCTTGGTGCCCACATCAACATCGATGGGCATTAGGGTGCTGGTCATCACAATCTCCTCAATGGTGCGCTGTCGCTCGACCTTGGTCAGTGTGGTTGCACGTCTGCTCAGGCTCTGGAGCACCAGGTCGAATATCTGAACTCGCGTCTGCAGCTCCACACGTTGTTTGTCCTTGGGGCAGATTGGCGGCAGCTGGATCAGGGCAGGTGGCATACTGGCCACCATCGACGAGCTGGCAGCAGCGGGTAGGGCAGCCCCAGGCGGCAGGACCTTTTTGGTTAGTGTCGTTCCACGTGGCAATTGCTTGGTCAAGGATTGAACGGTGTCTTCAGCATGAGAAACTGGAAGTGCAGGAGTTGTGGTGGGTGCAGGTGGAGCGGTGGGCGCAGGTGGAGCGGTGGGTGGCGGAGGGTTAGAAATGGGAATTAAGGCGGGAAGAGTCCGAGGAGCCGGACCAAGGTTGGACGACGGCACTGCCACTGGAATCGACGGCTCACTGGAGTCCATGCTCATGCGCACCGTCTGCCCCACCAACTTCCCTCCAGTCTTATCCAGCTGCGCTAGCTTCGCACGCACCTTGTGGGGCAGATCCTTATCCGCCTTGGAGATGATCCTCGTCGTGATAACCATGAACTGCGGCAGCTCCAGCACAGGCACCTGCGCCGTGGCATGCAAACGCGTCGGGTCAATGGCTCGCATCGGTCCATCCAGATTGGGGCAGCAAAAGTCCAGCCCCACGTCGCCATACGATCGCTGATAGCGGTGCGGATACAGGAAGGAGAAAATCTTGGTATGGCCAGGCTTCTGGCTGGATTCGGCCGAGCTGGCCGATGGCAGCGAGCTGACCAGTCTGCCAGCCGACGGCGGAGGCGCACTTATGCGAATTGTCTGAAAACTCGATGTGGCGGGTGGAAGTGGAACCACCTCCTGAGGTGGCGTCGCCTCTTCAGGAGCTTCCGGAGCCGTGGGTATGGTTATGGGTGTGGCTATAGGTGTGGGTATGTGTATGGGTACGGGTAAGGCTCCCAATGTATCTTCTTCCATTGGCACTTCGGGCGGCACTTCCTCTATTTCCGTTTTTATTTCCATAACGGGTATGGGAATCGGAAGTTTCATCGCCAGAACACCATGGGTTTTTTTCTGTGCTGGTTGTGCCAATACCGACACCGATACCGAATCTGACTTGTCAACTGGTGCGACTGGTGCTCGTGCTGTCTGCGGCGCTGTTTTTGGAGCTGGAGATGGTGCTGGGGCTGGAGCTGGCTCTGGCACTTGAACCCTTGCTGGCTCTGCTGCTGGTCCTTCAATTTGTGGCTCTGGACCCGGCTCTTCTGGTGGTTCTGATCGTGGTTGCTGTAGTGCGACTGCTGGCTGTTTTCGTACGTTCGCTTCCATCCACTTTTTGACCACTCCCCGGTTGATTTTAACCAGACATTTTCGCAGCTTAGGTTTTGTAATGGGCTGTGATTTGGAAGAAACTGGAACTGCAACTGGGGCTGTAACCGAATATGGAAGCGGCGAAGAGGTGGAGCTGCTGGCAGCGGTTATCATCACTGGGAAGGCAAGGGACGGAGCTGGACGTGCTTCTGGCTCCTGCTCTTGCTCTCCTCTTGATCTCTTTTGATTGCCGACTTCTGTTTCTGCCTCTGCTTCTTCGGTAGCTTTTCGTTTTTTGGCCGACCGTCTGCGTCGCGAACCAAACCGCAGTCGCGCCGGACGTTTAACCTTCTTAGGCGGAGCTAGTGGCTCGACTGGCGGTGTGGGGGCTGCTTCCAGTTCAGGCTTTTTCGGAGCAGTCCGCCGCACCATAGGAGTTGGCGTTGTAGCCATAGGAATTGGCGTTGAAGCCAGGGATCGATTGTTACTGGCGGCGCGCGTCATGTGTGAGGATATTGAGACAGCCATTGGACGGGATGTCGGTAAGGAATTGCCTTTTTCCAGTCGGGTTATTCGACCGGCGCGTTCGTGAGAGGATTCCCTTGAGGCGCGACTAGTTTCCACCTTTGATTTTCGGATCGCAATGCTCTTTCGAAACACATCCAGATCGGACCATTGCTCTTCGGATTGTGTCAATCGAGACGCGGCATCGGTTACTGGTCGAACTGTTGACAGCATTGCGGGTTTAGCCATCTCATCAGCTATAGCTTGCTTTCTGGCAGCATCTTTCGACTTCCGAGGCTCGGGGTTGCTTAGCAGTTGCGGATGCGACAAGGATTTCGTGGTTGGCTCCGTGGAAGTATATGATTTTTTCGATTGTTGTGCGGACATCTCCAGCCGGCGATCCTCCTTCCCAGCTTGCTCCGTGGTCTTAGTCTTGTCTGGCGTATTTATTTTCACGATCTTCTTAGTCTCCGGCTTTTTCTTGGTCTCCACTTGCCTCCTTGCTGAAACGATGTTCTTCTCGGCATCCAGCAGCGCCTTCGTAACTTGAGCTGCTGTTGCGGGTGCGCTGGTGGGCCCCGTTTTCCCCACTGCAACAGCCGCACATTCATCTTCTTTGCTCGGCATCACTGAAACGGAGATGATGTTCACCTTCCTCAGTGCTGCTGCAGGTGTTTCTCCTTTGGGAGATTCTGCTGTTTTCTTGCTCGGCAAATCGCTTGCTGGCACAACACCCTTCCTAGTCAGCAAAGTGGAGCTGGGGATATTCCGTTCGGGATCCTCGTCACTTTCTGCCGCTGTGTTAGATCTCGGCAAGAACTTCTTGCCTGCACTATCCCTTTGTGTAGTCTTGCGGGTATCCACAAACGAGTTGAGCACACTCTGCACCAGAGGCTTCTTGGACGGCGCCGGCGGACTCTCTGCAGCTGCATCCGGGGTTTTCTTGGGTACTGTCGATATGATGATGTGCTTGGTCATATCGCCGCCCTTGGTGCTCTT